CTCTCTCCCCCTCCCTCTCTCTCCCCCTTCCTCTCTCCCACCCTCTCTCCCTCCCTCTCATTATTAATTACATAAAATATACTAGAGTAAATAGCTAGTAATTTGCCGGTATCACTTTGTTTATTTATTCTATACATATATGTATAAGCCTGTTTTCTAATGTAGATCATTTCAGATATATTCTTTTATAATATGATGGTTCTGTCTAAAATTTCCACTGCATCTCATTTAAAATCATAATTATTTTCTAATTTATGTTCCGAAATGACCGATAGATTCCCATTCTTTTTCTTAATATCTACACGATGTTCTTGTTTCTAATTTTTTTTTGTCTAGCCCACATATGATGCTTCAAAATTGTTATACAATTGATTTTATATACAACATCACTAGAATAGGAATCTAAATCATCTTTATTCGTTTTAATAATTCCCCCGAGAGAGTTAATCGGTTTGAATGCTATTTTTAAATCATATTTTTTAGTAATGCTTCTAAAACTTTCTGAGATTTTATTGAAGTATGGAATTATGAAATATCTTTTATGTCACACGAACCGCGTGACATAAAATATTATGAGTAACTAGTGGGGGTATAGTGTATATAGCGCGGGACGGGCGCGAATAACGCACTCGCTTCGCTCGTGTTTTCGCGCCCTTCGCGCCATAACACTAGCTCCCACGCGTTACACAATGTACTATTTTATTACGCGTGCACGTAATGTGCCCTATACCTCAACGCTTTTGCGTGCGGGAAATAGCCAATACCTCAAGCCGTTGAGTTATTTCTCTAACCCCACTCTTCTCCCAGTATCTGAGAATGGATTGAAATGGATTAAAATGGATTCAAATTTTCAGAAATACGGATTCGTAAATCGCTTCGCTCGTGCGCTCGCACCCGTCCCGCGCTATAAACAACTATCCCCCACTGTTACACAATGTACTATTGATTCAATTCATCGTTATTTTCAATAATTGTTTTGTTGATTGATTGTCTGTAAGAATAATTATTAATTCTGCTATTGATTGTAGAAAAAATGAAATGTAAAGAATAGCCATTTTGTAATGGTATATTGATTATGTCTTCTATATTTTTTGTGTGAAATTCAGAATTCGATAATATCAAAATTTTCTCAAACAGGCTTATGATGACACCTCTTTTGTGCTCCGTTGGATGATTGGAGTGAAAACTTAAGTATCTCCCCGAATTTGTGGGTTTTCTGTAGATATCAAACTTAATTCTATCGTTATTGACCATAACATTGCTAAAAAATTGATACCTCTATCTCTAAATCTTGTAAAACCATGTCTGAAACTATGGGTGGGGAATCCATAGGAGTATCAAAAATTTGTTTATAAGCTTTATTATTGAAAGTGAAAAACATGGAATTTATCACCAGTGTTACAGCCATTATGAACTGCTTCATAAAAATCTTTGTAGATTTAGAGATATTATTTCATCTTCTTTTAATACTGTCAATAGCTAAATTTAACGGTGCATTCGTGAATAAAGAAACTATACGCACGCACGCACACACGGGGGGGGAGGTGCAAGGGGGCCTACGGCCCGCTCCCCTCCCGCACCCGCCCCGTCGATAAAAGTCTCCCCCCAACAGTACAATGCAATCATAGCACAGTACAGTACAATCATGGAAGTCGTGTGTCCCTTGGCAAGAGGGGAGGAGGGGGAAAGTTACTTCGCGTGGACAGTTTAACGTTTCTAAACAGGGAAAGATGTAGAATAGTACTTAATATCATACATGTATATCATACGTTAATTTAAAAACTATGATTGTTAATAACTTTTTAATGAAGGACGAGCGACGGATAAAACCTGTTGGAGGTTACTCAGGGTCATGACCTTGACAACATATGTCAAGGTTAAGGTCATAACGCTGGCCTCCCCTATTCTAAATAATTACCGGATAATTAAACTAAATTATAAAATACATCGAAATGTCTAGATGTCCTAATATACATGATATGTGTTGTATATATATATATATATATGTATGTATATATATATGTATATATATATATGTATTGTATACATGATGTATGTACTTTATATCTCAACGGGCAACTGTAGAATAAAAACAACATCAAAGACGAAATGTAACACATAGAAATATAAACATCTGCGCCAGAGATCAACTCAGTGGTTCAACAATGTTAAAAAATTTTTTAATTGTATTCATTGACATATGACCAATCACTCCTGTGTCATACTTAGTGAAGAAAGATGGATTTGCCACTCTCTCTCGTTCAGCTATTGATAACTTCTTCCAATATTATTATCTGAACACTGAAGATGATTCAAATTGCAGCCGAAACGTCTGATATTTATAAGTACTACATTTAATAAATAAGTTTTAGATTTTCGTATTTACTATCGCTGTTAACCCGTTTTTTATTCTGATTTGACATTCTCGAGAGTTCTAATTTATATTTAATTAAATTAACTATATTAATATTTGAATGAGAGAGATGATATGTCCAACAACAAATGCGCAAATATTTATTGAAAGCAGAATATAATAGAACATTGATTTTCACACTAAAATAATGCGATCTAGCAGGGATTAAATTTGACAAAATTTGTAAAATGTTTATAATATATTATCGTCAATTGTTTACATGTATATTTAAATGTCACACTAAAAATGATATAATAAAGGTGTCGAAACGTTTGTAATTAATTTTATCTAATTCAGAAAGATTATAGGTATAATAATTTCGCAAAAACATCCAGCTTATGAATAAATCATATAAGTATATATATATATATATATACATACATATATATATGTATATATATGTGTATATATATATATATATACATACACAGGGCAGTGTGTTACAAGCTAACTCTAAAAATGTTTGTCCTATCAAAAAGTTATTTATGAGAAAGTTTCATATATATTCGAAGAGTCTTTGTAACTACATAAACAAAAATTCACCTTTGTTTCCCTTTGAAAAAAGGCAGGGAGGTAATATCAAAGTTTCAAATCCCTTGTAAAATGTTACATATTTGAATTCTACAAGGAAAAACAAGTAAATGGCTAAAAGTTTAAATGTTCATACTTTTAATAGGAACATTTTTCAAAGAAATGTTTCAGACAAAGTTTACTCGATTATGCATTTGAGGCTTCCACGAGTATTATTCTCAATTATATCAGAAGATTTGCAGGTTATCACCGTGCACTATATAATAAATTATAGTTTTCAGCTTACCTAAAGTCACTAATTACAGAACTACGATCATCATGGATGGAATATTGCTCAAAACCACTCAATGAACCAAGTGAACTACAGCGTGAAAACATTAGAGGAGTTTCTTCTGCATAGTAATCTTGACCACCAAATGTCACCATTTTCCCTAAAATATAATATCTTTTTTATACTAACTTCATGTATGTTTGTTAAAATTGTATATGGAAAAATATTTGCATATTTTTATCAACTTTAGCTAATGTATAACGTGATAAAACCTTCTTTATCTAGTACACGTGGATTATTCTTGTTTTTAAAAGAATTGTGGCTCACTGATGACAATTCAATTTGATTGTTATTCAATCTGACAACACTATGATCTTCATTTTCCAACTCTTCCTTATTTACAGAAAGAGGATTGTTTAAATCTTCTTTTGATATAACTCCTGTAATATTATTCTGAGGAGTCATTGCACTACTTAAAGAACTAAGCGAATTAGCACGGGAGAAGCCATGGGATGTTTCCTCCTCCTCATAATAACTTACTATCTTCTCTGGAGTTACTTGTCCAGGATTAAGAACTGTAGTATCCTTTGTGTTCTTTTCTTTAAGTTCTTTTGTTATTAGACTATCTTGCGTATTGCAACTAAGTGTTTCAGTCTGTTTGATGAAAGATATAGATATATTGCTAGCTTGAATCATCTTTTTTGATATTTTCTTCACGAGTACATGCTCCTTTACGTCTTCGACTCGAAGATCTGACATAGAGGTAGCAGTAGAGAAGTTAAAAGGAGTTTCATAGGGTGTTCCCTCTGTATAATAAGTTTTGATCGTATCTTCTTGTTCGTTGTTAGGAAAGTACTCAGTGTTCTGTTTCTCATCCTCATCAGTGTCATCCTCGGCGTATCGCAGGCTATAATCTGTAGGCTGATCAAGATCAGTTTCGGCATAATCACCAAATAGGTCTACCTTGTTGTCATGCTCGTCGAATTCCTTTTTCAAAGTGTGATTTGTCTGTGATTCATCAACCAGGCATTCATTTTGTATCGGAGCATTTCTTTCGATATATTTCTTGCTATAATCAACTGGTTGATCATTCACGTCCTCATCATATGTTTCTATGTTATTTACGTCCATACTGATGACAGCTGGACAGTCTTGACAACAAGACTTAATAGAGATGCATTATGAAAGATTTTGACTTGAATCTCCTAAAAGAAAGCAATTATTAATATTATTTGTAACACATTTAAGTAATTTGCACGTTACTATTATCATGATCAGTGAAAAAATTTAAATGATCGAGAATTATAATTCATCAACATTCTCCATTTCCATAAAGCTTTCCGACACTTTCGCATAAGTGTTTTAAATCATTTCTGTAAAAAATGTACGTTATTATAAATATTTATAAATAAGTCAGTATAAACATTACAAAAATAAGCCGAGAGTCTCTTTTTTACCTCATTTTGTCTCGCAGTCTCGCTTGATAGATAGTTCGACAATAATCTGATGATATGCGCGCTAGCAGGACTGAGTTCCAAAATGTAACTTTGGTTACTAAAAATCTATAGTTTACGTTACGTCAACTATAGATTTCAGTTATCGAAGTTGCGTTTTGGAACGCCCAGATAGTGAGCTTGATCACGTGATCTTCGAGCAATCAGCAAACGAAAATTTCGAACGACACAGAACTGTCGTGTCATTTAAGGTTATGGTAAATATTAAGAAGATCCCGGCCGCCTCAAATTTTGATAAAAATTCACTCAATCGATGTGTTTTCGCGTAAAAATAAATACTTGACAAGAAAAAAAAGCGTCGCTCTGCCCTGTAAATTGAGATATTAATAAATCAAAGTCGACAACTATTCAGATTAAGAAATCTGTCACCAGTGATTCATTGTTCTTAAAACATAAACTCACTATTTTAGCAAAGTATTTGTTTTTAATGCAGAAGATTGTATTTTTAAAGCAATGAACCATTGCTGTAACAAATTTCGTAACTTGAATGAATAGCCGTTAACTTTAACGATTAATATTTTACAGGGCAAAGCGACATTTTTTTTTTGTTAAATCTTTATTTTTATACAAAAATACATCGATTGAGTGTATTTTTATCAAAATTAAGGGTTTTCTTAACGTTAATAGCATTTTTTACTGGCAGATCTAGTGCGCACTCAGTGTACTTTAATATACCTTTGTACACAAATCGACATAGAAATACATATTTAACAAAAATTAAAAGATGAGTAAAACCGTAAAATCTTCAATATATTTTATTGTGTTATTTGACAAAATAAACAATAGGCATTTATCAATTGAGATATCTGACTTTAACATCAGAGTAGTGTATAACGACTTTAATGTGCACTGAGTGCACACTAGTCTTGCCAGTGAAAAATACTATAAGGTTATGATTTACAATTATATTCAATTTAGGCGCAAAATCTTGCATTAGCTCTACGAGCTCGGTCTTTTGGTCTTTGAATCCGAGGTGAAAATGGATTGAGGAGCTCAATTAGCTCTAGAAATGTCAATACCGAACACAGATGAGATGACATATAACAGAAACATACGAGTTGCCGAACGATTTCCGAGGTAAAAGGGCAAATGGATCAGTGATGTGATTTCGGAATTTCGGATTTCCAACCCGCTTACAGCCTGTGGGGGCTAACGTACGTTAGCTACTCTTGTATGTGTACAAAATTTCTGCTATCAAAGTCACACGAGCTTGTGCATACTTGTGTGGCTACCCAATGCTACCGGTTGCACCAGGCCGCGGACCGATGGCGCACTGATCGAGGGCTTTGTAGGGACCCTCAGGCTGGAGTCACATTGAGCGGTAATTACAGCGGAACGGAACAACGAGACCAATCACAATCGCAAAAAGGAAAGTAGAGTAATGATTGCAGAGATCTGATTGGTCTCACTGTTCCGTTCCGGTGTAATTTCCGTATCATGGGACAGCACCCTCAAGTAAGGGATCGGACACCAGCGTGAAAGATGCGGATTGGCTGCCGCCATTAGAGGGATACTTCCGTTGGTTAGGTAAGTATGCTTTCCTTTTAGAGGACACACTCGACACAAACATCGTTCTATCTTTATCATTCGTTGAATGTTAAGAAGGATAGAACGACGTTTGTGTCTAATGCGTCATCTAAAATAGGAAAACATACTTAGTAATTGCTGATTTAGTTGCTCAGTATTGTTTGTTTTAAGATGTAGATATTATACGTATGTACATACGGTTCGAAAATACAGTTCATATATTTTTTAAATCATTGCGAAATGCGATACTGTAAAGTTTCAAATTGCAAAAATTTAAGTAGAAATGGCCAAATAATGCCTCATTTCCCGAAATCTCTCACAAGAAGAAAAAAATGGATAATCTATCATGCCTCTGGCCGTGTCAGTTGGACACCTATAGCGTTTTCTCTTGGCTGCACCAGTGTAGGGTGATTGCACTAGTTCATCTTTTTCCCTTTTCCCTTCTCCTGGAGAGAAAAGGAAGAAAGATGAACTAGTGCAAAAGTTCAACTGAGTATTGCACTGGTGTAGCCAAGAGAAAACGCTACTAAAAAGTATTCTGCCTTATGTAATATGGCCCGTATTCAGAACGCATTTTTATCGATAAAAGCGCGCTTTTATCTCTGAAATTCTATAGTATACGTGACGTAAACTGTAGCATGTTTGCGCGCTAACATCGGGTGCAATTGATGATACAAATCGACACAATTGTCGTTCTATCTTTGTCAATCTCTAAATGTCAAGAATGATAGAACGATACTTGTGTGTCGACTTGTGTCATCAATTGAAAAGCACCCATCGTTGTTAGCGCGTTCTGAATACGGGCCTATAAGTAGATATAATATTATATAACTATTATAATATATGTATATAATGATAGAATTATCATATTTATATTAACGTAAAGACAGGGAGCAGTTCACAAAGTGAACTTAACTATGTTCCATTTCACGTATGATGCGCAGGATTTATCCTTTTATTCTAGCTTGTTTAATACAGGTCTTAATAACAATGCATTTGAATACTCCCGCGCATTAACTAACGTACTTCCGGTATCCCTCTAATGACGATGTTGTCTGATCCCTTACTTGGACCGGTATTCATAGTCAGTTCTTATATTCAAGATTGTCTTAAGTTCAGTCTTGAGGAGTTACGAACCAATCAGAGGACCGCTTTAGCATCTTAAGACATACTTAAGTCAGTCTTGAAATAAGAACCGACTATGAATACCGGCCTTGAGGTCCCTAGTATGCTGCAGTGTTCTGCGCATGCGGTAACAAGTAACGCATGCGCGCAAGGCTGTCACACGCCAGGTAGTGACCCTTTAATAAGAGTCTGACCTTCTCCCCGGTTTGTGATTGGTCCGACATTTATCATCCATTCCCGCAAATTTCTTTAAATTTATAAATTGTAAAAATTAATAAATTCGTAAAAATTAAAGTAGAATCAATTACAATTTTTATTTTTATTATTATTTAACTTATATTAACATTATTAAATATTTTCTATAAAAACTTTTATGTAAAAAAAACGTTGCAATATGTCTTTCATAAAATAAAAACAACAATTAAGTAAGTATTATAAATA